CCCTCCCTCCTTCGCATCTGATCTTGGGGCGGCTACTCCGTCTGATTCCGCAGGTTCCACCTGCCTCCGGTGGCTGGCGGGGCTGCCCGGGTGCCGGCGCGGGGTTTCCGCGGCGCTGGCAGGCCAGCCTGGCTGGCCCATCTCCTTCCTGCCCGCTTCTCCCTTTCCCCGCCCGCTACCCCCCCTCCCGCCACCGTGGCGGCCGCGCCCGGCACTGCGCGGCTTCGGCCCGGCGCCCGGCGCTCGCGCGCGCTGGTCCTTTTTGCCCTGCCGCCTCGGCGGCCCCGCGGTCCTGGGCGCAGCGCGGCCCCGGCCAAGCCCTGGGCTCCGCGGACAACGGCAGCGCCCTGGCACAGCGCGGCTTCCGCCCGGTCATGAGCGCTCGCCCCTGCAAGACCGGATCCGTTCAACTCCTGCCCCAGTGCACCGGCACCCTGTCGGTCGTCGCAGGCGGCATGCTCTTGGCGTGTCCTGACTGGCGCGCCTCAAGTCTCTGCAGCTCCTGCACCCTGGACCTGCGGCACCATGAACCACCGCGGCCCTGTGGCGCTCGCTCCTGCTACCTGCACGATGGCACAACGCTGCACTTCGTCTCAGCGTCGCTCTCCTCGCCCTCCCTGACCCTTGACGCAACTTGGTTGCAAGGCGCGCCACCTCTCGCCGCCAACTCGGGGCCGGCGTAGAATGATGAGCCGTCGGCGGCAGCACCAACCACAACACGTTGCTTCGACCGGTACTCCGCCACCGGGTGCATGGGAAATGCGCTCCTTTGCAAGTACGTCGGCTTCGGTACCGCCTGATCCCGAGGCTTTGCCTCCTCCCGGCCTCGCTCTGAGGCTGCGCCCCCATTTTTCTTTCCCATCTCTGGTTAATTCAAGCTTCGCGCGGCCCGCTTAGCTTCGACCGGAGGAGGTGCGCTCTCGACCCGCGACTCAAAAAAACGCGAGTGGGAATGGTTGGACGAAGCACCTCAGTGCTTCCTTGATGCGGCCCCTAGGCTCACCCTCAATGATATCATTGTCCTTTCGCCCACTGAGGCCGCCTTGGAACGCGTCCCGGAGCATTTTAAAGATCCCTGTGAGGCCAAGGATGCAGCCTACCAGGTTCAGTTTCAAGCGGCCCAGTAGAGTGCCAGGGCCATCAGCAACCGCAAAGCAGGGGGCACCCAGGGCGAAATCTGCAGAGCCCGAACAAGGCCATCAGGCTCCAGCTTCGAAAGCACGACGCCTTCACTGTTGGTATCCAAGCGGCCAGAAGCCCAAGAGGCCCCCGGATTGCGAAAGGTTTAGCCGTTTTCTCCTCAGGCGCTGAGAAGGAAGGGTTTGGAGTTGAGCTGCGGGCGCCCACGGTTGTTCCATCTGCTTCGCGCGGCCAAGCTAAGTTGTTCATCCAGAAACGTCAGGTCAGTGTACTCAACGCCAGTGACCAGATATTGGTTGCTAGGATACAAGCCACTGCTCTTGACGTCACTGTCCTAAAGGCCCATGCTCCGCACGCGAAGCACTCGCTTGAGTGCCGAACGCGATTCTGGAAAGACCTGCGGGATGACCGCGGCAAGTGCGGTCCGCAGATCACGCTGATCGACGCCAACGCAAGAGTCGGATCCCTCGCGACTGATGCCGCTGGGGGGCAGGGCTTTTGTGCATCAGCAGGATCAGCAAGGGCATGAGTTGCACGCGTTGGCACTTGGGCAGAGCATGACTCTAGTCAACACAATTATACGCACGGGAGAACACGGACACACATATGTGTCGCCGAAATGCACCAATCACAGGATATATTGCATCATGACACGTGCCAGCTGGGTGAAGAGAGTCCTCGGTTGCCAGGTCTCATACTAGTCTGAAGCCTTCGCGGCCTCCAGTGGCAACTTCCCCCTCGCAGCCACATTCGAGTGGAAGTGGATCGCCGCCAAGAATCGAGCAGCTTTAGCACCGCGGCTAGATCCTGACGAAGCCAGAGACCACGATCGCAAAGTGCGCTTGTTGGCGCCGTTTCGAAATACCCCCCCCCCCCCCCCCCCATGGCGCGCCAACATCAATGCGCACTACCAGCGCGCCGCGAAGTTGATTAAGTGTACATCAGAGCAGGTCTTCTCTGTCACTGTGCCCCCCCGCGGAAGCCGTTCGTTCCAGAGGCCTACATGTGCGTGATGCGCTGGAGGCGAGCTGCCATCCGAGCTGTCAGGAATGGCGCCGAGGGAGGGACCCCCAGGCACTAATGAGGCTTCCTTGCGGCACTTTTTCAGGGGAGCTTCCTCGGGGGATCGGCGTAGCGCGTTCCGCGCTCCAGGCAAGCACCAGAGCATTATAGGTAGCATGCGCAGAGCGGCCAAAACTGCCCTGACTTGAGAGCCATGGTCGTTCGACTGCGCGTTGCCCTGCCGGTCCAAATCATGGATTTCCCGCAGCGCTCGGCTCGCCCGCTCTCGATGATGCTAGAAAAAGACAAGGCGGATTGTCTCAATCGCGCCGCCGAGAATGCGAAAACAAGCGCATGCGGTCACATGCCCAGAGAGGAATGGAGAGCTCATAGTTCATTACTGATCCGGGAAGAAAGGAGCTCCAAGCTACCCGACAATCTGCCAATGATGGAAGTCCCAGCGTCGCAAGACAAGCAAGAAGAGATCTTGCAAACACAAGAGGGTCGCGCAGCATTTTCAATACACATTCGCATCAATAGAGAACGCCCAGGAGCTGGATCCACAGGAACATCTTGATGGATACAACACGAGGCTTGCACCATGGCAACCTGGGCGCCCCCGAGACTGGATCTGCGTGCCCTCTGCGCTGGACACTGAACTTCATCTCCGCTCTACGAGAGCGGGGGGAGCCCCTGGGCCCGACGGTGTCACCGCGGATCTCTTCAAGGCAGCCCCTCAGGAGATGGCCCAGCTTATCGCCCCTCTCGCTGTGAAAGCGGCTCTCTCTTGCAAGGGGCCCACTGCGGCCAAACTAACTGATGCGGCATATTTCTACAGGGGGGGGGGGGGGGGGCAGCCCTGGAGCTGCCGCGGTCGCCCAGCGCCATATTCCCATGGCCAACGCGCTAGTGATGCTACGCCAAAGAGAGCTGCGGGCCGTGGCGAATGATTTCTTAGGACTTGCATTGTACGTAGAGCAGCGTGTAGGGGTACATGGAAGGGGGAACAGACATGCTGACCCATGGGCTTCGCACGCTTGCTTCTGCCTCGGCTGCTCGCAAGGAACCAACAGTCATTTTCAGTCTAGACCTAAAAATGGATTCCACACCGCGATTCGCCAGTTCGCTCTCTCGCTACCAGTAGACGAAGAAAAGGCATTGCAGGCGCTGAACGCAACGCAGCTCCCCGGGGCGCTATGGATCGCCGCCAAGACCCAGATGGTTCAGAGGCCCATCCTGGAGAAACATATCCCCGCCCCGCACTTGGCAGGGCTAACGCGCGAAACTCAAGACTGGGGTCCCGGCGCCCTAGAGCCGCAAAACAAATCGTTGAGCCTGGCGCGGGGCCCCGCCCTGGAACCGTCTTTGCGACGGATATGGTTAACCAAGTTTGTGCCTGAACAAACGAGGGCCCGCGTGACTGGACGCAGGAACAGCTTCAGCATATCCAGAGGGGGATGCCCCAACGCGCGCCTCTCTTTTCATCGTTGCTGGATTGGGCAACAGCTCGAGAAGACCAATAATTTGCTGGCGATCTCACAGTTGCCATAGCCGTTAATGAGACATCCGAGGCGCATGACGCAGCACTTATAGTATCAGAGGCCGTCTATTGCGCTGCATGTCCCCACGGACTCCAACCCAACCTCCCCCCAACACAAAGCTTTTCATTTCCTGAGGGGAACCTGGCGCGCGAGTCATACCCGAGGCCTTTCCTGGGGGCAAGCTACAGGAAATCACGTCCGACAGATGGGGTTTCGCTTTGCCGATCGTGCCAGAGCATGAAATACTGGGTGCACGGCTAACAAACCAGGGCGCCATGGGCCTACAAGCTTGTTACAAGCGTCCACCAGGATAGCCTAAGCTAACGCCGCAGCCCGACCCATAAAGCGCACAGTTGCCCCTCGTTCCGCACTGGAGGACAGAGCCAAGGTGACTCATGTTGACGCCCTTGCTGTCTCGTTTCTGTTTTGCGCCGCTGCTTCTTGGCCGAAGAAAACCGCCCCCCCCAAAAAAAACCTAAAGGTTGCCACAGCCCATGTCAGGCAATGCAGATCGGGGCTTAACCGCGGCATCTCCAACACTGCGGAGACGCATATCGCCAGCGCAGATGTATGGGATCCGGCCGTAAGACTGGTGACCCGAGGTCCTCGCACTCGCCCGCTTGCGCTACCTTGGCCGGGTGCTCCAAGGAGCCCCACCGATGACCAAAGCGTTTGTTGACCAAGCCTGGGGCGCCCCCGACTCGCGGGGCAAGCTGGCGCAGGAAAATATCCAATGGCTCAACCGCCGCACTGAGCCGTCCAATCGACCAGGTCAGGCAGCCCTGGAGGACTGGCTCCAGCTCGCGAGAGATGAGCCTAAGGCGTGCAAGACCAATCGTCGCCGCCATTCGCAAGGAAAAACCCCTTGCATTTGACCTCAATAAGCCGGGGATCTGGATGGGACAAATTCATGACGAGGCGCAGGGAACACCCTTGCAACTACAGGATCCCCAGCACCTTCCTGTGCAGATGTGCTATTTGTGTGGGTTCGCGGCGGCCTCTGAGAGGCTGATCAAGATTCGCGTTTGAAAGGTCCATCCGTCGCCGCGGAACCGGGCGACCCTCTCGCCAGGGGCCCGCTGCCAGGTTTGCCAAGGACTTCAGCTCCATCCGCAGACGAACTAAGCATTTGCGCAAAACGCCCCCCCTGTCCTCATGCATGGGTCGAGCCCGGGCACCGACCGTCAAAATAGGAGAGATGCGCTGCGCGAGATGATGCCGCGGCGACCATGTCTATCTTAAGAAGCAAAGGCTTCCATGAGGCCAAGGCCCTGGTGCCCCCCACCCAGCGAGCTGGCCCCCTTATTGCCCCCAAAAAGGTCGCGAGGCAGCATCCAGAGACATGCGGCTTGCGATTGCATGTTGGCCCCTTGTTGCTCCCGAAGTGCCCGCCGCCTGGCAGCCGAGATCCCCCCTCTGTAGGTGTGTCATGTTTGTCCTGCGTCTCTTCTCAGGGCCGCGCAGGTGGGGTGATTTCCAAGAGGCCTTTGAGCTTATTGGACGCAACGCCAGGGTCGGCATGCATGTTATCAGTATCGGTATTACTCACGATCATGTTCGGCGGCGCCTTGCACACGACGAAGCCATGAAAGTTTGGATCGACCTCTTGAGGTCGGGCAGGGTAGCAACTCTGCTCGCGGAGCCACCGTCCGAGAATTGGTCTGCGGCGCGCGACGCCCCCAACCCTGAGACTAGGAAGCCACCGGGACCCATGCGATCCACCCAGCACCCATGGGCATTGGGACATGTCACGGGACGAGAAGGGGAAGCTGTTAGATTTGGGCAGTGATCCTCTCCGCACCACCATTCGCTTCCTCAGCGTTGCATGGTCGCATGAGAGTTCCAGCCATTATGGAGCACCCAGAAGAGCGCACATGGATCCAAGATGCTCCCTCCGCGTGGTGCATTCCAGCTCTTGCCTCTCTTGTGAGACAGGAAGGAGTAAAGACACACACCGCGCAGCCGTGCGCATTCGGAAGCAGCTCCAAACAACCACCACATTCCTTGCACTAGGTGTGCCCGCTATGGCCACACGGCTCAACTCCACAAGACACAAGGGGCGATGCACCAGGGACCACCAGCACGTGGCACGCCACGGGCTTGAAGCTCATGGGTCCTGGGTCTCCTCTGCGGCCAATGCCTACACGAGAGGCTTGTGCGTTTTTTCTGGCTGCCACCCTGCACGAAAGCGCCCTTTTGAGGTTCCCCCACCTTGCCCAAGGAAGTCGCACGCTCACCCGCGAGACCCAGGATCAACCTAGTAACTGGACTGCTCGTCAGGATGCGACCTTGTGCTGAGAACTGGGGATAGACACTGTGGACGATGGGTGGCAAATACCTGCGGGGCTCAGAAAGCATCACTGTCCCCTGGACCCGTAATTCTGTGGCTACGGGCATTGCGATGGACTGTGCGTTACATGCCCATCGTGCGCGGCGATCGTGAAGACTTACTTTCCTTTTTGCCCTCTGTCCCCGCACACCTCAGACCTCTTAGGATGGCACCGCAGCAAGGTGAAGGGCCCTCCTGTGAATGTTTGCCGTGCCCACTGGCACCGCCGCTGTACGCCCAGCTTAACACGTAGTAGCTGGAGGGTGCTGCGCGCTTAGCGCGCAACTCGACTTTGTCAGTAACCTGTGTTGAGGGGTGAAGGACTGCCGCGTTTCCCCCTCTTTTATCTGTCCCATCCAATCTGCGTCGCGCGCGTTGACTGCAGTAACCCGCCACCCGAATGCGTGGACCCGTTGGTCCTAAGGTCCGCGCCTCGAACGCAGGCGACAGCCGCTTGCCGCTGCCTCCGCCATTTTTCTAATCTTCTTTGCTTTCGTTCTTTTCACCTGCGGCTAGGCATCGACATCCTCCGCCTCATATCGAATCGAATCGAACCGAGGAGGAGGAGGCGGAGGAGGAGGAGGAAAAGGAGGATCAGGAGGAGGAGGAAAAGGAGGAGGAGGAAGAGGCTCCGGGGGGAGGCCTGCGCCTGCAGCTGCCTCGGCGAGCGGCTGCGCGGTTCAGCCCCCGCCGCCGCTGCCGCCGCCGCTCGGCCGTCGGCGGCCGGCGGCGGTCTGGCGGCGCCTCCGCCGCTGCCGCTGCCGGCCTGGCCGGCGGGTCGCGGCCTCGGACTGGCGGGAGACCCTCGGCGCTGCGCCTGGCGGGGCGACGCGGCGCGGCCCTCTGCCCTCGCCGGGCTCCTGGGGGCGCGCTGCGCGGGCCTGGGCGAGTCGGTGGGGCTCCCCAGGCTCGCAGGGTTCCTTCTGGAGTTCAACAACCTTTTGAATTCACAAACCAAGCTCCTTTTTTGAATTCGAGAACCTTCTTGCATCCAGCTTGTTTTTTGAATTCAGAAGCCTTTTTTGGGTTGAGCTCAAAAACCCAGCTCCTTTTTGAATTCAAACAACCCTTTTGAATTCAAAAGCCAGGCCCCCCGGGCTCCTCTGCGCCGCTGGCCGCGCCGCCCGCTGCGGCGGCTCCTGGGCGCCAGCAGCGCTGGCCGGCCCTGCGGACCGCGGCGGCGAGGGAGCCGCGGCGGGCCGCGCGGGCGCTGGGGCCCCCGCCCCTGGTTTCGGGGGCGCACAAACATGGATTAGCGATCCATGGATTTGTCGCGCGGCGGTCGCCAAATCCATGGACCGGGGGAGGCGCCCTCTCCCCAAAATTCGGCCGGTGCCGCCTCGTCCGGCGGCTGAAATCCGCCACGGAAACGGGACCCGTCGCTAATCCACGCCCCCTTTTGCGATTGCCTGATGGTTGGCAGCGCGCACGGTCGACGACGGGCTGGGGGAGATTATTGAGATGTCCCGCATCCTCCGAAAGGCCCCCCATCCTCCTGGGTCCCGGTCGCCTCCCGGGCGGCGTTTCGTCTCCCCGAAATCTAACAGACGTGCCTGCCTGATGGCCTCCTGCCGCTGCTGCTCAGCGATTTCTTGGCGGCGCGCACAAGAGGGTGAAGGGAGGGGAGGCTGCGTTTTAGATGGCGCCGGCCTCACATTTGCAGATACAGGCCCGCGCCTTCTCAGAAGCAGGGGTGCTTCTAAGAAGCCCTCCCCCCTCCCCCCACCCCCCTCTGCGCGTGGCTGACCTGGGCCCGTGCGCGCGGCTGCCGCGCCGCCTGGCCGAGCTGCGCCCTGACGCGGGTCAACGATGGGAGGGCGGGGATCACGCACAGGGGGGACATCGACCCGGAGTCGGCGATACATCGCCGATAGATCGACGATAGGCCCCCGAGGGTCCATTGCCGCACGCTCCTGGGCAGGTTGGGGCTATCAGCCACCCACGGCGATCAATGGGCGATCGGAGGTCGATGCATCACCCCCTGTCCAAGCCCCTTGCAAGCGGGGCGTCAGTAAAAGGGACGGAAGCTAGGGGGCATCTTCAAGCGAGAACGGGGCGACAGGGCATTTACCTCGCACTAGTGCGTCATACATCGGGACAACAAAAACGCCGATAGATCGCCATACCTCTGGGCGGGGAGATGTGCCTCGCACTTGTGCGCGACAAATCAGCTTGTTGAGAACACCATGGAAAGCGCATCCTTAGCTACCGGCCCGTTTACTAACGCCCCGTTTGCAGGAGCTTGGCCTGTGCACATCCCCACCCAAGTGAGCGTTTTTTATATCGGCGTTTCGACATTGGGCGGAAAAGAGGGGAGGGGGAGGGTCTGGCTCCGGAACCCGGTGCCTCTGACCTGGAGGCCGGGCGACGTGTCGCCGATACATCGGCGCCGTCGGCGACGCCGTCGGCGAGGAGAAAACCAGGCTCCACATCGAACGTATCGGCGATACAGAGCGGGCGGTCCGGGAAATCCGTTCCTAAAATCTAATGACCCGAACCTGTCGGGTGGGGAAAAAACCTTCGTCCGGACGGGCGTTGGAGGGGTTCCCCAAAAAACCTTCCAAAAACCTTCCAGAGAAAGTTTTTAGAAGGTTTGTTGGAAGGTTATGTGGGAAGGTTCTGGGATTTGGGCTGGACGATTGTTTGGAAGGCTTCTGGGAGATTTGCTTGGTTTCTGAAAGAATGTTGTTTTGATGTTTGTGTCCCCAGTGTTCTTGGAAGGCATCCAGAATGCATTGGGCGGCCTCGCGAAATGTTGAGAAGTTCATTTGGGAGGTTGTCGGGCGGCTTTTCGAAGGGCGTTTTGAAGGTCGGTGGAAGAAGCCTTCCAACAACTCTCATCAGAAAGGTTTTTGGAGGGTCGGTTGGAAGAAACCTTCACAAAACCTTCGCGAAGAAACATGATTGGAAATATTTGAACATATACCGTGCAATGGCCTTCCCCAACAATGTCTTCGACGGCTTATAGATCCACGTAAACAAAGGAAAACCACAACAGCCACCAAACTCCTCCCTGAGGAAGGTGTTCGGAAGGTTGTGGGGGAGAAACCCTCAAACAACCTTCCTCTGGAAGGCGGTTGGAAGACGCCTCCCAAAAACCTCCCTGAGGGCCGCGTTCGAAGGTTTTGTCAAGGAAATCCTTCCATACAACTTCCGCGAACCCCGAGGAAGGTCTTCTGCAAGCTGTTGGGAAAAAGCCGTCCAATAGGTTATGTATGTTTTTTTATACATATCCATAAACATAAACATATATATATATATAATATATATATATATATATATAATATATCTGTACATATATATATATATATACATGCATACATACATACCTACATGCATGCAGGCATATATTAATGCATGCATGCATACATGCATACTTACAACATACATACATAAATATGTATGACTATATATATGTACATGTATATACGTATATATATATATATATATATATATAAAATATATATATATATATAATATATATTATATATATATATATATATAATATATGTGGTGTATATATACACATATATAACATATATATATATAATATATATATATATATATATATAAACATATATATATATCAAAAAAGGGGGGCAAACAAACTCCCAGAAGAGAACTGTTGGAAATAAACCCTCCAACAAAACAGCTGGAAAATTGTTTCAGAAAATTTGCCCGGGACACCTTCGCACAACCTGTCAGAGATAATGAGTCGACATATTGCTGTTGGAAAGAAACCATCCGCGCGCTTTGATTCGGATATTGGGCCATATTCCATCAACAGTGGTCCTTGGGGAGGTGTTTTTGTTGGCTCCTTCTTGCAAGAAGCCATCCAAAATCGCTCCGCAAATCAAACAACGGTTTTCGAAAGAAGTCCTCCGAAAACCTTCCTGACGAAGGTTTTTAAATCTTATTGGAAGAAACCTTCAACACACCTTCCTCGTGAAGGTTTGTGGGGCATGTTTTGAAGGAGCCCTCAAACGACCTTCCTCGGAGAGGTTTTTTGTTTCGAAAATGTCGGAAGAAACACTCCCGAACCTTCCTCCTTCCAAACACCTTCCGAGCAACGGTTTGTGGAATGCTTTTGTGGAAACCATCCAAACCCCCCCTGAATGAAATTTATGGAAGGATGCTGTTGACTACTGGATGCTGCGTTAAAAATTTAACCTGTTGAGTGCCGCGCTTTGCGCTGGCGCTGGAGGCCGTGAGTACCAGGTGTAGCTATGGAAACGGATGTCGAATGCCAGGCTTCGCGTTGAACGCAGAAGCACGGCGGGCGGGCGGCGGGGGGCGGGCGGCGGGCAGGCGGCGGGCGGGCGGCGGGCACAAGAACGAGCACGTGTGCGCCCTAAACGAGATTGGGCGGGCGGTGGGCGGCGGGCGGGCGTATCAGGGTTTTAATCGAACTCCCATGGGTCCACTTTTCCGGCGGGATGCAATTGAATACTGGCGTTTGCGTTGGATGGAGACGGGGGCCGTTGAATGCTGAGTTTCGTGTTGGAGACGAACGCGGTGGAGTGCTGGGTGCTGCGTTGAACGCGCAAGCACGGCGGGAGGGCGGCGGGCGGGCGGCGGACGGGCGGGCGGCGGGCGGGCAGATCGGGATTTTCATAGAACTCGAACAGATTCTCTCTGGCAGCGGGCTGCCGTTGAAAACCAGGTGTTGGGTCGGAGATTGAGGCCGTTTGTAGACGGATGCCGTTGAGTGCCGGGCGTCGTTGAACGCGGAAGCACAGCGGGCGGGCAGCGGGCGGCGGGCCGGTGGATCGGGGATTGTATCGAACTCCCAAGGGTTCTGTCTTGCAGCAGGTGCCGTTGACTACTGGGCGTTGTGTTGGGGACGGGGGAGCTGCTGGACACGGGCGTTGTCGCGTACTGGGTGTTGCGTCGAACGCAGACGCGTGACGAACGGGCGGCATGGGGCGGGGGGCAAGCGGGCGTCGGGCGGGCGGGCGGCAGGCGAAACCTTTTTCAAAAACCCTTCCTCAGGAAGGTTTGTTAACAGGTGTTTTGGAGATAGCCCTCAAATACCTTCCTGGGTGACGTTGTTGGAAGACTCTTGGAAGAATCCCTCACTGGAAAATTGTTGGAGGGCTTCTGGAAGAAAGTCCTCGGGAAAGCTTGCCGAAGAAAATTGCTGGAGGATGTCTAGGAAAGAAGCCTTGCTGAAGCGTTCCTGAAGGACGTTTCCTTTGTTCCCCCCCCCAATGTTCCATCGTGAAGAGCGTTCGCGGGCTCGGGGCGGGGGGGGGCCGTTCGGATGGTTGCTCCGGCGGTCTGCCGACGAGCTCCTGTTCAACATTTAGCGACGCCGCCTATTGCGCGTTGAAACCGACCGAAAAACTTCCAAACCAACCTCCCAAACAACACCTTCCATCCTCCCTGCCGAAACAAAATAAAAACCTTCCCCAAACCGCACAGCACCCTCCTCGGATAGGCGTCTGGAACGGTTCCCAAACAAAAATCACCCCAAAACATTCCCGAGGAAGGTTGATGGAAGGATTGTTGGGTGAAGTCTTCAAAAAAACCTTCCAGAGGAAGGTCGCTGGAAGGCTTCTCCCCGAACCTCCCAAACAACAATTTGGAAACAAACCGTGCAAAACAAACATTTTCCTCTGAGGGAGTTTTCGGCCCCCCCGCACCACCCACAACAAAATCCAACAACATTCCCAGGAAAGGTCGTCGACATTTTCTTGGAATGTTTAAGTTGGAAGGTCTTTGGACGGCGTTGGAACGTGTTCCTGGCGGGTTGTTTTGAAAAGTGCCCGGAAAGC